AAAAATAAATCATTAACATTAACACGAATTGAGCAATTTGGAATAGGAATGGAAGAAGACTCAAGCCTTAGCTCTGCACCCATACTATTCCTATATTTATATGTAAATGCTCGTATCATAGTACATTAGACCCTTAAATTTTGTATAAAATTTTTTCCTTAAACATTACCCATTCGTATTATATTCAAACTTTTGAACTTTAAGATTTAAACTTTAAATTTTTTTCTCTCTTCTCTAACGTCTCAATTATTGTATCACGCTAACACTCACTCATGAGTGGTGTTGTGAGGGCACAACACAAAAAAGCGTAGGGTGGATGTAATGATATGCTCACACATCATAATTTATTGTATATTTTATCATTTCGTTAAATAAAGTAACGGTCAAGTTGTCGCACGCAGATAGCCTTCAATAAAAACCTATAATCCCTATGGATCACTGACGAAAGAGACGATCTACATTGTTTGGCCACGTGGGAACCCAAACGCTATTGCGACCATATGGCACAAAGCGTTTGACCTATTTTCGTGTGCCGCCAAAGACAAGGGATGGTCCAATGAGGCTCTCTGTCATCGGGGACCCTGGCTGTCTTGATCACGTCGTCTTCTTTAGTCAGTGCATGAGCACTAGCCAAACCATCGAGTGCATGAGCACCAGCCAAACTATCGAGTGCATGCGCACCGACAAAATTGCAGTGCAGGCGCATCAGACAAACGAGCAGGAGCTCTTCCCAAGACCCATCACACACCCCACAACTCAAGACTGCGAGCGACAGCTGGACTTCTTTCTTTTTCTAAGATAAAATCAGTGTTGTTTTTTCTTATTTAAATTTAAGTTTTCCTTAAATCATATCGCAACTTGCATTATCTTACATCTTTCTCTGAGGATCGTACTACAGGTATACACCGCGGCGAACCAGGTAAGGTGCATGCCCTACATACTTATTGTCAGTACGAAATATTTTACTATTTAATTTACATACGGTGTATTTGATCATATTCTCGAATCACGATCTCGAGAACCCTCCGAAGAACTGGAGGAAGGTAATAACGCAAGAACAAGTACATTCAATATTTATTAGTACCGGACTTACATACAAGGCTTGTGTCCCTTGTGTCAGTCCGGCCACGTCATACTCATAGCATAATACCCATTTATTTTAATTTTTAATATATTTTTACTTTTTAATTTTAATTTCTCTTATTTTTGTATTATTACAAAGTGGCGCCCAACATAAGTTCAGTTCATTTGTTTATTTTTTCAAATAAACTGAGAATTGATCAAGTACACTATAGAGATTAGACAGTTAATCTATACATCATATTATATACTTACATTTATAAGAGATAGATACAAAAAATTATACATTTTAAAATAACAAAAAAAAAAAAAACTAAAATTATTAAATCTTAAAAGATTTTTACTAAAAAAATCGGGATTATAAAAATATTGAAGAGAATTTTTTATTTTTACCACTAAAAACTAAAATTATTAAATCTTAAAAGATTTATACTAAAAAAAATCCACTCCAGAAAACTTTGAAACGCAAATAGATAATATAACATTTATCCCTGAACCAATACACAACTCCGCCGAAAACACAATAATATACAAAATGACTGATAATAAAAGACCATATTTCAAACCAAACAATTTTTCTGGTTCGATCTCGGAAAGTATCGACTCGTTCTTAAAAAAATATGATAGGGCTGCCATCATAAATGGGTGGTCAGAGTCTGAAAAGACTCAATTTATTCCGGTATTTTTAGAGGGCTCCGCCCTTACTTTTTATGATAATATTATGGATAGTGGGGAAAACATAGAATGGACTGACTTAGAAAAAAAATTCAGATTAGAATTTGAGCCAATAACTCAAAATGACATACTTCGATTAATGTTAAAAAAACGGAAGTAATTACCCGATGAACCCACCGTAGCATTTATCAACGAGGTCGAATCTCTATGTAGACGCATTGATAGCAGAATGTCCCAGGAAGAAATGGTACACAATATAATGAAAGGCTTAAACCCCTCCATAGCGAGATACATAGGAATAATGGATAATGCTAACTTAACAGAATTTAAAAAAAACGTACGCAAGTACGAAATGATTGAATTTATGATAACAGGTGAAACACCTAAATCTCAATTTGACCTAGAAACAGAAATAATAAAGTCCAAACTTCAACAAATAAACTCAAATAAAAACACAAAAGAAAATGAGATCGACAAATTGCGCGATGAGATTAAAGACATAAAGACCATATTTAGTCAATTTTTAAACAAGGAAACAAATACAAATTATCAAGGTAATATTGTAGACAGAAATCCCTACGAAAATAATGATAGCCAAAATCAAAACAATTTCAATAACCAACAGTGGCATACACAAATGCCTCAAATGTATAATATGCCGTATAATAATACAAATAACACACAATATTGGAATACAGGCCCAATTCCCTTTAACCAATCATATTTCCCAATAAATTCGACAAACAACATGTCAAAAATAAATCATTTACCATATAAACAAAAAAACTCTACTACTCAAAAGAAACAATGCTCAATTTGCTCCAAAACAAACCATTTAGAAGAAAAATGCTTTTTTAAAAATAAGTCTGATGTAAATACTTGCCAAATTTGTAACAAAACTGGACATACGGCTAATAACTGTAACTTATACGTCAATAAGTCAAAAACACTAAATTGGAGGTCAAATACAGCTGAAAAATGTTCACCTTTACTTACAACATCATATAATCAAAAAATTAACAAAATTAATTCAACTTTCGACGATCTTTGTATCGAAGCTAAATTTAATAACATTACCTTACCAATAACAATTGACACGGGGGCAAATATATGTTGCATTAGACAAGAATTATTACCCGATAACTATATTATTACACCTAGTACAATAAACCTTTCAGGACCGGACAACAAACCACTATGTGTAGTAGGCATAAGCAATATACAAATAAAAATTAACAATAATTACTTCAAAATAGACACCCACGTTGTAAAAAACCTATCTAGTGCAATTATACTAGGTAATAATTTCTTAA